AAAGAAGTTCAAAGACGAATTAAATGCAAGCGTGAAAGCTGAGATGAGCAAGTTACGCTTGACAGAGGATGAAAACGTTGATGAAACGATTAATATTGATCCGACATCACCTAGCCCACTTCCAGAGAAGGCAAAGGATAAAAGGGTATCCAATGAATTGCTTAAAAATCTGGCATGGCAACTATCAATATCGTTTGTTTAGGTATCATTCAGCGGAAATATGGAACGAGTCAAGGTATTTGACAAGAATGTGAAAGATCTTAAAATTAAACCTTCATCAGCTTCGCCAGGAAAAGGCATTTTGCGAGCCATTCCGAAAAAAGTTTCACCCAAGAAGAAAAAGAAGAAACCAGAAGTAATTTCCACTTATTTATATTTTTCTTTTATCTTCCAGTGCTACGCATAGTTTAGATGCAGGCGACCGAGAGTGAAGTGATTTCTGAAACTGCTCCTGCAACAATCGATCCTAGTGCAGAAAAAGAAAATGTGGAGGAAAAAACTGAGAAGGAATTGGAAAAACCGAAAAAGAAGATCACAATACAGGTGCACTAGAATTATTCGAGCTTTTACCAGATCGCTGTGTTGACGGTCAGTTTGAGGTGACGAAGAAGGTAAAGGAACAGCTGTTGACTATGGATAGGAAACAGAGGAAGGCGTTCCTTAGAGAGCTTAAGGTGAGTTCGTTAAGGTTGTCTCAACTTTGGCAGTGTACACCCTATCTTTAGGCCCAGAAAAATCCTAATCATGATCGGGCTATGGAGTGCAAGTTGTTGTGGGAGAAAATTAGAAGGTATGTAGTTGTTCTGGACAAGTTTTGTTAGGATGTGTTTTTCTATTACACTTCCCTGAACTCATGGAACAGCCTTTTAGTAAGAAGACTCCCAAGCAAGAAAGGGATGAACATGTGTCGAAGCTTTTTGGTCTTGTAAAGGTATCTTTTTACGGTTTAAATTTATAATTGATCCAATTTCGAACTTTGTTTTAGGGTTTTGCTTCAAAATTGATTTACACCCATGATATTTCTCGAGTAT